TGTTGTGTTCTTCCTCTTGTACAGACAATCATGTATAACGATACTATGAGTTCAATAAAGCCTGTTTTTGTTTGATTCCGTACTGTATGCATTGTATTCATTTTTAAAGCAATTATGCTTTCGTCATCGTTGAAATACAAAATGCTTCCTCTTAATTCTATATTTCATGTCTCTCAGATGATTTCTCGTGGAGTTATGCCAAAAAGAACACTTGTTGCTTAAGTTTTGCACACCAGTGTAGAATCAATGCGAAGCGTAACAAGCGACAAATATGAGCACACATCAGTGCTGCCAACATTCAAAGGCAAAACTGCGGATTATAAATCCTAAAATTATGGCATTAACGTTAAAAATATTGTAAAAAATTTTATTCTTACTATTTTTTTAATAGTATAATATAATAATGAGAAAATTTTTTTAACGCGGACAGGTACAAAATCTCTGAAGATTGGTCCGACGAACCAGCAGCTAAGAATCCCTGGTGTAGAAAACTCAAAGAATTGACACCTCATCAATGGAGTCACGTCCTATTTACTGATGAGAGCCGTTTCAGTCTGACAGATTCTCGACGCCCGTTGATATGGAGACTTTTCATCCTATTAATCTTAGGGAACGAGACCACCTAGGTGGCCCTGGCGTCCTTGTATGAACGACATTATAATGAACGGACGGACGGAGCTTACCGGAGATCGTTTCTGTGATTAAGTTATCCCTTATGTGCGCATTTTCCGGTGTGACACTGGTTCACAACTTTATTTTCATCGATGACAATGCACTACCAAATAGGACTTATGCTGTTGAGAAAGAACTAATAGAAAGTTAAGATATTCATAGAATGGATTTAGCCAACGTACTACCTTTATTTAAATCCCATTGAACATATGTTGGAAAATTTAGAGAGACTCCTGGAGGCACGATCTTACCTTACAGAGAACACTAAATAACTGAAGCAGATGCTCCTTGAAGAATGGTAACTCTTACCCTAAAAACTGTTAGATAATCTGGGGCTGAGTGTCGATAGATGGTGCAACGCAACCACTGCGGTTAGAAGAGGCCATATTCCTTATAAATATTATTTGGTTCCTTGTTCTTCCTCTTGACTAGATATGTTTTTGTACCAACACTATTCTGTCAATAAAGCCTTTTTCTGTTAGTTCTGTACTTTTTGTTTTTTATTCATTTTTCGCTACTATACTTTCCCCATCCGTTAATTACTACATTGTGCCCCTGCAATATAAATTTCATATCTCCCAGTTGATTGATTTTGCAGAATTTCAGCCCAAATCAGAAACGCTGCTTAAATGCTTGCACATGAGTGTACTAGAAACCGAAGAAGGTGAGTAATGTAGAAACTATCTTAACAGATATGCCAACTAGTCAGTTAAATTTTCGGAAATCTCTGAAATGCATTCAGGTTAACTATTGACATTTTTGGGTGTATTATCATATTATTTTATTTCAAAATAACTCGCAGTCTTTTATTTTACAAAGAGAATAAGGGATTATTCCATAAGAAATATATGATTTCAATAATTAACCCAAATTCCATTTATTTAGTATCCCTATATCAGTATTTAACATCTTTTTAGTACGGAATATGAATGTCCTATCCCAAACATCGCACGCACTTACACGCTTGATAATCTTCGAAAATAGTATTATCACTGGAGTCATTATCATTGTATGAGGTATGTTTTATTATTTTGAAAGCACTTAGATATGTAAGTATTAAAAATGGCGGCTAGCTTTTCTTTTTTGAAGTGACTGACCAATGATATCTTAGATATATTCGATAGGAAATACATCCGGAGAGGTCCCAGGCCGCAGTAGCTTGTCAAGTTAGTATAGGCTATTTATTGCAGAATGAGTAACATGTAACCTCGATGTATCGTGTTGAAGGCAATTCCTGGGAAACCTCGTAGGAATGATTGTAGCACTAGCTCCATAATCAAATCAGCATAACGTTGAACTGTCAGGTTACCAAGAAGGAAGACTAGAAAGACTAGAAAGGTGCCACCTGCCTGTACATTACATCGCTTCATACCATTAATAAGAGACCAGAAGTGGCATGACATTCTCTCATGAAAGTTTGTTGATGGTTTGGCCACGTGGTTTTGAGTCTAATCTCCGACAGTTGTTGTCCCAAAGACAGAAGCGTGACACATAGTTGAAAAGGAGAGTCCTCTATTTTCCCTTCCATTATTATTTAGATGTATACCATCTAGATGTACCTTTAAAAGTGGTGGCTTGTGGTGAATGAAATATTAGTCGCTGTCATTTAGCTTGTAACCTAATATCGTGTAAGCATCTTCTGATGACTTCTGTAGACACTGCTGGTACCTCTTTAGTTAGCATATGACATGAAAGAATACTCAAGGTAGAGTGAGGATTTTTATGCTTCTAACCGTTCGCCTTTATTTTTTAAATTTATTTTTTTAAATTAAATTTTGCTGTCATCAGAGATCGCTGTTATTTTTTGAAATGACTGAGATACGCAACATTGAAAAGTGCTAATAGGTAGCAGTTTGCTAGAGTTATAGGAGACATATTTAAATTTAAAGATTCTACCCCTCTCAGTTTCCGACAGATAATAAGAGACATTTCAATAAACTTGAGGCATCACACTTTCAAACCACATTCGGGTTTTTGAAGCTTCATGTAATTAAAAAAAAAACTGTTTTAAATGACTTTCATATCATTTAAGCTATTTAGCTGATAGAGTTCCTCACTCTTATTCTACAAGAAGTGTTAACTACCTTTTATTTTACTCAAATTAAGATTAACAACCGGCCCCTTTCTTCGGGCTTACAACAAAGCCTTCACTTGGGCTTGAAATCAAAATAAGAAATAAGAACTAACTATAACTAGCTAAGAGACTTAGCCGAAGTTAACACAAATCTAACGTAGTTGGCCCTTACTTTAAACTAGCCGGCGAATACCAAGGGCACGTAATATATGGCTGAGTGAAGGCTTCTAGGAAACGTTAGTCCAGCTTCTAGGAAAAGTTAGTCCAAAGGCAAACAAAGGCACGCGCTACTCAGGATTCCTAACTCTTTCTCTCGAAGTAAGTTGAACTTTCCTTAAATACTACTTCTACTCATTTGGATTCAACGCGGTCTGATAAAATCTGAACCCTTTCACATTTTTTTATTATATTTACATTTACTTCAATTCTACCTAATTTTAATTTTACATTGCATAACAAGCATTGTATAATGAAAAACGTTTTACAGAAACTTTCTTTACTCTCTTGAAACCATTTTCAATTCCTTCTTTCTCTTCGCTTTGGCGATAGTAAACGGACCGCTTTCCTTTACATTAATTTAAATATAGCCATGAATCACCTAAAAGCACACTGAAATTTCCATTTTTATCCATCTTAAATAACTGTAATAGAGAATTCTTTACCTCATCTTATAGAGACAGTAAGTTATTTTGAAGCAGGAGATGTGAAAAAATGAGCAATACTCTCGCCGGGAATCAAACCACGGACCTCTCGGATACGTGCCGAACGAACGTGCTGACCACTACACCACGAAGGTATGCTAAGAAGGCGGGAGAAATACTTTATAATCTTGCCTCAAAAGAAATGTCTCAATACATGTCTCAAAAGAAAGCAATGAAAATTATAATTTTTTTGCATTTTTTAAATGTCACTGTTTATTGTTTTGTTTACAGTAGGCACAGAAATTTTAAAAATTGACGATAATTGAGAAGGTGGGTTCTCTTTTAGGAGCACAGGTTTAATTTTTCAAATGGTCTTTGAAAAGCATACTTATTATTACTACTTATTATAAATATATGGTGTTCTATTACTTGTAGAAATCAGTGACTGCGTTTTATTTCATCATAATGAATGATTTTATTTATTGTGTCATGACACATTTAATTTTTCAATAAAATATCATAATTTCCTTATAAAACATACCGATTAGTATTAGTTTTTATTTCAAGATTAGGTTTAGTAACACCACTTTACCAATCTTCCCTGAATTACTTCGTACAGTTCAGTTGTAGAGTAACTAGGATTTTGGAAAAGAAAACATGATACATCTATGCAGTGCTCTCGCCGGATTAGGTCCCCGAACCTTCCAGTTGCTAGCAGGACATGCCTGCAGTTGCACAAGGCGAGCAAGGGGTAAGGAGGAAGAAAATACATTACACGATAATCCAAAAATCCTTAACGAATGATAATATAATAGTGTATAAAATTACAGATTATATGCTCATTTCACACACTGCATGTGTTCAGTTCGTAGATCATTCGTGCATTGTTCTTCCAAAAATAGAAGAAATACATATATTTGATATTGGTAACTGAATACAATGAAACGCATCTGGGTTTTCGAAAAAAGTACAGGATTTGTATTGCAGTGAACCTCTTTCTTATGGTTTACAACAAAAATTAAAGACGTAATGGTGAATTATAGATAAAAACATGATTTCTATATCATAGAGCAGATATCCACTGCTGATATAAGGGTTAATAACTGTAATGAGCCGTTTAATTATATGATTTATGTTTTATGGATTAAAATTAAATGAATAGAATTCAATGGCCATATTTGTCTTACACTTTGCAACAGAAAGGTATGAGCTACAGGATTTTATCAAACCAAGAGATGCTGGATACAACTAAAGACGTGAAGATGACATACGAGTAAACAAGCTGTTAGAATATAAAAGTTAAATAAAATATGTTCAAAGGGAATGACAGTTTAGCTCTAAATAACATTCGCCGTACTGTCGGAAAGGTTGACAACATAAAAACCAAATAAATATTTAAAAAATAACACAAAAATATAAGTGATAACCTCTTTAAATATTACCAACACTTTAACCAAACTCCACTTTGAAAAATGTACTACACGTCGTCCATTTAAAATGTATGAAATTCACTTTTATGAAAAATATTACCATTCTGGTTTAGCCTTATTTTCAGGTTACTGGTGAATTAATTAGCACGGGAAGTCAGAATTTCAGTGAATTTCTAAACTTACATTCTACGCTCAAGTAGGCAGAGGCGGTGTCTGGTGTCCCGATGCCGTTGGTCACTTCGCAGGTCAGTTTCCCAGAGTCCTCGGCTGATGTGGGGGCGATGAAGAGGGTCCCGTCTCCCCTCGCCGTGGTCCTGGTTTCCAGCCACGAGAGCTGACTGATTTCCACCCCGTTGTGAAACCAACGGTGAGTGACATTCGTTGGAAGGGCTTTGGCTTCGCAGATAAACTCTGCTCGATCCCCTTCTAATTTAGTAACATTACGAGGAGGAAGAACTATAGTAGCAGGACCTAAAAAAAGGATGTCGTTATAAGTTTTTCTATTCAGAATAACTTTAATTTATTTTCAGAACATAAGAAATAAGAAATTTCTTGTTTGTATTATAAAGTTTGAGTTTAAAAAGTTTATATTTATCTTTCGTTTTGTTCTTGGTTTCAGTTTAAACTCCTTTAAAAAGCTGAAAGTTAACAAACATACCTGGAATAGAAATTAATATATACATTTTGAAGGGTACTGGCATGAATTCTTCTTTAAGCAACTAAAGCGATCCATGGCAGGTAACTTAAAATGCATAAAACGTTTCTATAAAATCAAAAGTAATCTCAGATTGAATTTTGCCAAATTTTAAATATTAGAATCGTTTTCTAGTTTCAAAAAGTAATCGCTTTTATCCAGTCTTTATAGATGAAAATAATAAAGCACGCTTACAGTATTAATAATTTTCTTGTTTATTTGTTTATTTGAATATGGAAAATTAGATTAAGATTATCTATCTAAGGAGAAGAGTGACTTCATATAGAACATTTTAAGGTAAAATTGGCTCGTATTTACGTTACGTATGGTTGGAAAAGAAAAATCACCCATGAAGACATCCAGTTCGAGGATCCGAACACATGTCGAACCATTAGTTATCTTACTCGCCCACTAATGGACATCAACCAAATGGATAAAACATCAACCGAAATTATGAAGTAAGAAATTTTCTTCAGTTTTCAATATTCTTAGCACAATTTAAAAATTAATAAAATTAAATGTGAAATTCAAATGTTCTTTTTTTTTTTTTTTTTCCATCTAAGTTTAACCTAACTTCTCTGCTTTTAAGAACACAGGGCTCTGAAAAGATCCACCAAAAGTATTTTTATACTCTGCATTGATAACAAAATTAATTTTCGTATATTCTACCGTTAATTGTGAAAAAAGTAATTATTTAAATTTACTGATTTAAAATAATTTACATTATTCTTTATATAATTCACACAATTCTGTTAAACCTGAAATACAGAGCATTATTGCAAGTATATTTGAATGTCATGCAAAAAAAAAAAAAAATACATATGCCAGCACTTAAATGCCAGAGCAGAGTTTATTGAGGATAATATAGATCTTCTGTAGAAACAAAATTGAAATTTTTGTTTGAAAGTGATACAATTCATATTTTCCTCGCTAAATCAAACAACCCATATTTATACAGAACTTTAATGTTAAAAATTCAATTTAACGCACAAATTTATTACATGATTTGACTTTTCAGTTATTTACTGAAACACAGTGGAATTTGTTCCTCCCTATACACAAAAATGATTTTACAAACTTCCGATATTTTTATTTTAAACAATTGCGATTTAGAATTAGATTCGAATCTTGTATTTTTCGAAATTATAAAAATCTGGATTTAGTGAAAGAAGATACTCAGTGTTTTACATCATTATTATTTATATCAATTTTTTTTTTTTTGGCTGTAGGGAAAAAAAAAAGAGTTTTCCTGATGAAAGAAAAGAGCGTTTCTGGAAAGAGCTTTCCGATGTAACAAAGTTGGTTTTACGGCATACTAAATCTGTATGCAGTAGAACATAATTTACAGGTACGTTTAAAACACCCTCTCGGATGGTAAATGATAAGGAACTGGGGGAAGGGAGGGTTGCGACAAATAATAATAGTTTTCTTCTTAAATATTAATTCATCTCAAAAGATATTAAACGATACCATGTCACGGTTTTCAACAAATTTGTTTGAAACGTGTTTAATTCTTACTTCGGAGTAATAAAAAAAATGAATATCGTAAAAACGACCAATTAAGAAAAGGAGTTTATTAGTAAAACACTGCGAAATATCCCTAAAAAGACTTCCCATGGCTTCAGACGATTTGAACTTTGTGGAGGAGGTTGCTTCAAAGAATAAGACTATTGTTTAATTATATTATCAGAAATGTCGGTTACTTTTAGAGGTGATCATCTTAGAGTAATGGTTGCGATAAGCAGTTTAACTGTAAAAAATTTACTATTTTTTTAAACTTTTGGTTTATACCTTCAAAATTTATAATATAATATTCAGGAAATTACTTTGTTTCAGTTTAATAATAAAAAACCTTTTTTTAAGAAAGTATAAAAGAAACTCTGAAACAACACCAATATCAGGAAAGAAAATGTATTGGTCATTGAGAAAATTACATATTAATTAACTATACGAAAGAAGTTATTTATTGTAGTAATAAAACTAGTTTTAAAGTATATTAAAGTTCCATGCAATGAAGAAAAACTCATAGATTGTTACCATTTTTAAAAACCAAAGGGTAGGAAGATATTTTTGAATGGCAACTTATGTCAACGGCAACAATTTAAAAATGATGTCTTCTCATAATATTATTTAAAAAGTGTCGACGGCATAAGAAATAATATTTTTGCTACAAGTTCCAACAATACATCTACTCTCTTAAATCATATCAAAAGTTGAATGCTTAGGATAATATAAAATTCAAAAACCGACTGTTAATTTCAAAACTTCAGTAATATCCACAGTCTTCAATAATATAGCATTATTGAAAGAATGTTGGAGATGCTGTTTTGCTTCATGAATTATAAGAGAAAACTGTTCAAACTGTTTCAAAACTACACAATGAAAACTGTTCTCTCGTTGAAGACAACGCGAGAACAGTTTTCATTGTGAAGTAAAAGGAACCTGCCGAAGAAATAAAATATTAAACAAATTAATAATGAGAAAGAGAAATCAATGTAACATGAGCAACTTTTCATGAGTTATAGTTTCCAAAATTAAAAGAACCTTCTTCCTTAGTTAAGGAAGTGAAAATGACGGAAAAGAAACATGTGCCTGGCCGGGACTACTTGAGAAAATTCGAGAATGTTCAAGCTAAATGAAAGAAATCTAATTCTGAAAAGGAAGACTTTTTTAAATAACATTGGATTTAGAGAAACGGAAAATGGGATTGATTTACATTGCTTCATGAATGTCGTTTTTACCGAACGTAAATTTTATGCTCTTTAATTACAAGTTTCAATGCTCTTTTTGTTTATTCAATGTATATTAATATGAAGCGTATATATTAAATATACACTGCCGTCTAAAAGTTAAGGAACAGCATCTTTTTTGTATCTAATTTGAGAATGAAGTAACATAGAAACAAGAAATTTACAGGACAGGTTCACTAAAAAGTTCTTTAATGAATGCGACATAGAACGTTTCTAAAGTTCAACACAAACATGAATTACAAATTGCACTCTTAGAAGAGAAATCTAATCTTAGAGAAACATATCACAGTTTTTTGAGGAAAAATGGGATGATATAAAATGGGTTCTAATAAGGAATATGTCCACCCCTAGCTGCAATACATTTGCGTCAGCGACGTTCCATGCTGTCAATTAAGTTGTCGGTCTGTGAAATGGGAAGCAATGACCAGACACGGAGTAATGCTTATTCAGGCTCATCTAACGACCTTGGAGGAGGACTTAAAGCAGCAACCTGTTCCCAAGGTAGTCACAAAGATGCTCTATTGGATTATGGTCTGGAGATTGAGTTGGCCATTCCATCCGCTCCCTACAGTGACGCTCAAGATATTCTTCAGCAACCCGAGCTCGGTCCTGTTGCGCATTGTCGTCCATCAGAAGAAATCCACGACCAATAGCAGCGGCATATTGATCAAGGATCTCGTCTCGGTATCTCACACCCGTCAAAATTCCTCCATGGAACACATGCAGGTTAGTGTGATCACCAAGAGAGATCCCAGCCAAAACTATTATTACACCACCTCTGTAACTGTGTCTTTCTATAATGTGGGATTGATTGTATTTGGTGCGTTGGTCCCTCCAGATCAGTTGACGACCTGAATCACTCGCCAGTGTGAACCTGGACTCGTCTGTGAAGAGAAAAGACGCCCATTGTTGACTGGTCCAGGAGACTTGTTCTCTTGGCCAACATAAACAGGCATCTCTATGTCCTCGGATCAAGGGGACACAAATAACTGGGCGTCTTGCATACAGACCCTGTATTGTTCAGGCGTCTGCGCACTGTAGTAGCTGAGATTCGTGTTCCTGTTGCCATGAGCTAAGGCACAGTAATCCTATTCCTCCTTCGGGCCGAAATAGCTAAATAACGGTCTACTGCAGGGGTTGTAACTCTAAGTCTACCTGGAACATGTCTTCTAGACACAGAACCCTCGGATTCAAACTGATTCCATAGTTGTTAGATCACACTACGAGAGACATTGAGACGTCTAGCAGCATCAGCTTGTGATATGTCCATTTCCATTCATTCAGTCACCCGCCACCTCAACCCATCGGGCAAACGACTTTTCTCTGACATTGATAGACTCTCCTGGATACTGTAAATGGAATTGCTAATAACAATTGAAGATCAACCCTCATAAACAAAACTTAACAATTTTTGCCTTTTTTCTCCTCCTATATAGTAAGTATTCCTTTCTTTAAAATAAAAGTGGTTAAAATAAAGTATTTTAAAATAAAAATGCACATTTTTGCATACATTTTCTTAAACTTCATTACTATCATGTATATAAACTGTGAATTTAAAGGTTACAGACATTTTTGTAATGGTGAGCTTTGAATAACATGCTGTTCCTTAACTTATGGAGGGCAATGTATATGTATTCAATATATTTAATAGAATTCAATGTTAAGCTCGATTGGAAAAAATAATATAGATACTTCACTATTCATACCTGAAATGGAGTCTTTATGTTACAAACTACGGATTTTATTTACGGATAAAACACAAATACGGATAATATTAATTACGGATAAAAAAAAATGAATGTTACGTAAAAAACGTGAAACTTGATATCTAATCGACGAAAAGAATGCAATAATTACTGAAGCATTCATGAGTTTTGACGATTCATATGAATCACTATTACTTTATTGAACAGTCAGCTTAAGTTAGTTTTAACTTTCGTGAAAATTTGAATCATACAATTTAATAATTAAATACAAACTTAAATGACACAGTTAAGAAGTACAAGAAAAGTATTTTGGTGTAATTTCTAAAACAAAATTACTTACCAGCAACGATGACTTTGGTCGTCGTAGTTACAGTTCCTTCCCTGTTTCTTGCCATACATGTATAATCTCCAATATCTGTCTGCCGCAGATTGCTGATCCTTAACTCAGTGGGAAGAATTTGAACTGTTCGACTCTCTTCCAAAGGCAAATTATCCTAAAAAACAGGGAATTTTATCATAAAAAATATGATTGTAGTACATTTCTAGGATGAATATTTGATATTTGTTACTAATGTTTTATACAATTTAAATTACTGGCCTAAGTTTAACCGATGTTAAAAAAACTAGTAAACTAAACTATTAGAATAGGCCATACAGCACAACTTAGTTCATCCTGCAAAGTAGATTTCTTTAGTGTACATAGCTCTTACTTAAAATAGCCCAAGGAAAAAATCGCTGGGAGACATCTGAGTTGAGTTGAGGGCAGTTCATCTATATTGAAATGGACCACGCACGGGTGTAATGTGCAAAATTTGAAACGCCTCAATTTTCAAATGATGGAAGCGAATAAATTATTTTATGTATCAATGAATATTTATAATGAGATGTAGATTATCGTATGTTAATTAACCAGTTATTATAATTTTATGTTTACTATAAATTCTTCTTTCCGTGTTCCTCACCAAAATGATAATTAAGTTTTGATTGTATTTAAGATGAGGGTTTTGAATCTTAGAGACAGCTTCTGGCAATTACGTATCGCTGTTAGTATTCCTTAACAGCTTTGCTTCAAATTAATAATCCGGCTTTAGCTTTCTCGCTAGCCGACGAGTTACCTCTTGAGTCATCTTATTCTATTCCTTGTGTGGTCTTAGATTACGTTATGAACATTTGAATTTAATTGCCTGTTATTATGAAATTAAATAGCCACAAGTGGTGGTTTCATCTGTAGCATAAGTTGTGCCTTTAGGTTCAATTTGAGACTAAAACAAAAACTTTAATTTAAACTTTCTTCAGTATTTTGTGAGTATTTGAGACGCACTGATAACTATTTACTTGTAAAGTAGGATCTGCAGGACTTTAGCTTCAGTTATAAGGTTAAAGTTACATAGTTCAATTCAGTTGACGATGAATAAGGATACCGGGATACACGGATACCTGGTCTTAGCTAGATTAATAGATAGCTTCCCACATCTATCCTTAACTTTATTTATTATATATATATATAATAACGAAATGCTTTACATTTTTTATTACGGTACATAATTTAAGATTATGAATTTTGAAACATATTTACATAAAAGAGGAATAAAAAACTAGAGTTAAAAATAAAATGAAATTGCGTTTAAAATAAAAATTCATAAAGTCCACAGTTCACGAAGTCCATAAAATTCGATCAAACATTCATAAAAGGGAAAATCATACGAAAAGATCACAACGTCTTAATTAAGCTTTTACACCTTAAGCTCATAAAAGAAAGTTATTACGTGTGAGCTTACGAATAAAATAATGAAACTTTAAAAGGAGAGGTAAATATGCTACCATTATATCCATATTTTAAGCGCGTTTGCAAGTATCTTTTTCCAATGCAAAAATAGATTCATAATTTTACAAATTAAAAAAAAAAAAGATGTCTTTTCTCGATAAATAATATTTTGAAAGAAATGGCATTAACTGCAGAAAAGTTAATACAGTATTGTTTCATTAAGGGGTATTCCGTTACGTAATGAATTGGAGATTCTTTGTCGCCACAGACACACTGATGAACACTGGTAATTCCATATTTATAGTGAAACATTGTGTTCTCTGTTATGCATCTTGATAACTGAGTAATCGAAATTTTGCGGTTTAGATCAATTGTTGATACGTTATTGAAGGTGCTTCTGCCCTATGCACATACAGGGTGTCTCTAATTAAATAACCCTATTTCAAAGCTGCCTACAAGCGAAACCAGCGATCAGAAAATCGTGAAATTTTGTTGCGACGTAATGAAGGGATGAGAATGTCTTTTAGAGAAAAAAACAATTAGTTACAAATAGCGTCATCAGAGAGCGTTTTACTTTAAAAAACCTGTAGTAAAAATGTAAATCTTTGTTGACGTCATGCAGCGGCTATTATAAAACCTCGAAACATTAGCGAAGACTTTGTTTTCAATATGCTTGTTGGTCACAATGACGATAAGTTTACGAGATCGCACTTTGTTAGTACAATTATTTTTACCAAAACAGGCGGCACTTTCGTAAAGTGTGGCTTGCCTGATTCCGAGAACTCAGTCCATGCGAGGTTTGGCTTTGGGAACGTTTGAAACATCTGGTAAGTCGTGGCAGTCTAAGAACTTTACCTAATCTTAAAGCAAGCATTTCACACCACGCGCTGAACATTACCTAGCACACACTTCGGTCAACTGTGGAATATGCCATCTTGCGATTTTAGATGGTAGCTGAAAATGACGGCCATCACGTGGAATATGTTTTTTTTATAACAAAATTTGTAAAATTTAAAACTCTCGTAAAGGTGTGGCTAAATGTATAATTTATTAATATGATGCCTTCTGGTGACGCTATTTCAACTAATTTATTTTTCGCTGAAAGACATTCTTATCCCTTTATTTCCGCCATAAAATTTCACAATTTTCTGATCAGTAATTTCCCTTGTATGCAGCTCTGAAATAGTGTTCTTTAATTATAGACATTATGTTCAACTTGCCATTTTTTTGTGAGATTGTCAAGATATATTTTTTAAGAAATGATCTGAGCAAGAGAATGGGATTGTATTTTGCATTATAATTTTCCGCAGCATGTCTTGCCGATTGATCCGCCATTTCATTGCCATGTGATCCAGCACAAAAGACAAGAAATAATGCGAGAAAGTAATCAAGATCATCCCTTTTTTGCATTGACTGTAATGATTTTGTTCATTCAGAATTAAACTTATCGTACGGCAAATACTCTGTACGGAGTTTTCAAACAATAATCCTTCAATTGCCAGACTAGTATTTTATGATTTTGTCTCTAAAACATCAATTTCCAGTTGTAATTGGGGCAGATGCTTATCTGGTCAAACGTGTTACAGATTTGATGTGTCTGAACTTATTGGTATTTACTGTCTTTCATATTGCTTTTATTAGTAAAGTCATTAGGCAGTGTACTTTTGGTGTTTGAAATGATTGCTGTTACAATTTGTTTTCATATACAGAAATAAAAAATACTTGTAATTTAAATGAAATATGTTTTTAAATGACATTAGATTTCAAAAGTTTTTTCCCTCGTTCTTAATGTTTTGATAAAAAATATTTCCAAGCAGGGAAAAAATACAGTTTTGCTAAATAGGTTAATTACATGCTTTTATTCGTAGAATGGGTTCTGTGTTTGATCATCACACCTCGAAGAAGGTGTATTGCTGCCGTTTTGCATTTTAAGTTATAAGGTTCCTAGTATTTTAAACAACCAGTTATTTTATTATTTAGATCTGTGCTATCACTTATTTCTTTCATTTAGTCCATCAGCGGCCAAACGGTAACGTCGCCGAACACTGGTAGTTCGGTCTGATATGAAATCTCGCCAACAGTCTGACTGCCTGGGCGTTCTCGTGGTTTTCCTCATGTGTAACGTGTATACGAGGCAGTTTTTATTAGAAAGTCATCCACAAATGGATCCCTCTCCTTAGGCAGATAGCCATTGAATGCTTTGCTATAATCAAGTGAACCATAAAGCTTCTCTCTTTCATTTTCCTAGCAGTATGCAAATTAATTCGAGAGTATATAACGTGGACTTTTCGGATTAGCGTGTTTCTGCTTTTCGAGGTCATGTTACTAAGTTAGCGACCTCAAATAAGATTGCATTCTTTGGCTTGCGTTATAGTTGCCATCAGTTTAATTGTTAGACCGGGAGAAGTTTCAGCCAACTTCCCGTTAAATTAATTGTGTAGGCTTTGTCTACTAATCTCAGTTTTAAATTTTAATTTTATTGTTACTTAAGTTTCCTCGCCATAAGAGGTTGGCTGATTTGTAAGCACTAGTCATGCATTTATATTCCAAATCTGACCTAATAAAAAGTTTGTTTTAAAGCTTACTTACGATTTTGTAGTTATCATACAAAGCAATAATTCGCACCAAGTCTGTTACCAGTTTTAATTTATGCTACCAAAACAAGTCAAACTTTATAAAGTCTTATCATAGAAAAATAATCTTCGTAGACACAATCATGTTTCAGAGCTGCCGAACAAGAAGAACGGAGAAACTCTAAAGCAAATGGTAAGTGGCAAGTGCTGCCATTGCACGAATCAAAGCAAACTTTATCTTCCAAGCGTTTTCGCACATAGTCGGTTCTCAGAGTATTGTCAGTCACCAAAGTATGAGGTCTTTAATTTATCTTTCAAATTTAATAAATCTGCCACTGATAAACAAAGTGAATGATTTAAATATAACAAAAGCATTTCTTAATAATTAAAATTTTTATTTTATTTTTTTAATAATGTGTCTAATTGAGATAATATAGAAAATAATTTATGACATTAAAACGAAAATATTTGCAAGCTTGCATATGCAAGTATGCATTTGTAAGCTTTGTAAGCATATAATTAATTATAATATTTCGAATAACCTATGTTAATAACTGGTTGCGATCCTCGAGACCAAAAGCTTTAGAATAGAGTGACATTTCACATATGACATCAATACCAAAACGGGGAAATATGTGGATAATAAGCAAGACGTAGTATTTTAATGTGTCACTTATATGGCCGCCATAAAGCGTACGGAGGAGACTTCGAAACATATTTTAAAATAAAATTAATATACTACGTTTACACATTAATTTCACAGTATTTGGTTAGTGAATGTATAACAGAATTGCCACTTTATATATGCAATTAATGATTATGCTATTAAATTCATGGACTGCACAATACCATGTAAATGCAAAATGCATATTAAATATATTTCATGAATTATAAAAATATTTCTAAAGTGTAATTAGTTGATTGCTAATTAGTTGATTTTTGCTAATTGCAAAAAAGTATCATTACATTCTAAGTTAATACACTGGTGTTCAGAACTAAGAGAATTTTCACATTTGGTACTTATTCTTACACCATCAGATATAATAGAAAACTTTAAAAGATAAGTAACGTGAATTATTTGAAAACTAAAATTACAGGGAATAATTTTCCTATGCTCAGGAGCAATGACATTTTTTTTATTAATTTTTCACTTCTGTAGACAAGAACGTACAAAGTAAGCTTTTAAAGTTACACGGTTTTAGAAAAACATATTCTAAAATAAATATTAAATCTCTTAGCTATCACAAGTTAAAAGAATACATGGTCGTGCTCGGCTAAAATTAAAAGCGTGAGGCATTTATAAAAGCATTAGATTGAGATATTGATATAATTTAAGGAGCAGTAGAAATAATAGAATAGAACTAATATGCAATTATGTAAGAATGATAACCCATTCAATTTCGTTTACATTTATCTTTGCCAATTTCCGTTTAAAAATCGGTCCGTTCTTGTTTAATACTCCCATGCTATTAATGTTTGTATTGTTCCGACTTGAATAGGAACTTTGTGCCTTTGCCGAATTACAAAACAACAAATGGTAAAAGAACATTCGACGTATGTAAAAGATAAATGGCAACATTCGACGCATGTAAAAGATAAATGGAAAAAAGAATATTCTTTTATTTATGTATTACATGCAGATTAGATAGATACTTTTTGATACTATTAGATTTACACTTTTTGAGTTTGCGGAATGGCAATTGAGCGTATGGGGAAAGGGCATTCAATTTTGGTAAACGATAAGTGAAAAAGATTCTTTTCATTCCATTTTGTGTTAATCTTTCATTTGTTAATAAGATTTTGTTTTAGATAGAGTGCTAGATATTAGTTTCTGGGTTATATTTGCTTATGATATTTTCTATAAAATTCCTTTTCAGATTATATGATACATCCACTGAAACAGATCACCACTAAACTATCTAATGTAAAATTATAGGCAGTCAATCTTATTAAATTTAAATTTATCAAATTTGGATACAAGTGTCAGTTTTATACAGCAAATTGCATGAATGGCTTAAAAGCTACTTTTTAAAATTTTAATGCATGTCACATAAATTTAAAAGTGTTTTCTTTATATATAGTTCGTATTTTTACAAAGCCTCGATAAGTACGGAGAAAAATGTCCGTTCATTGTTAAAAATTATTTTCATGCAACAACGATTTCCAGTTTTGACAGTTTCTAGATGCATCTACTTGCGAGTTAGATTTGTGCTGAATGTAAAATTTTGATAAAGCACTAAGCACATACTCAAAAGCAGAAGAAAAAAAATCCTACCTTGTACCATATGAGTGCAGGAGGAGGGGTACCACCTGCCTCGCAGGGCAAAGACACGGATTCTCCAACCTTTACGTACACAACATCTAGGGGTTTCGTTTTAAAATGGGGCGGAGCTATATGAGAGAATATAAACAAACATCAGAAACAAATATTACGATACAAGCTGGTTAAGACTGATGTAACAAAATTAATAATAAAATTTAGATACTTTATGTTTTGTTATTTCTTTTATGTTCTGATAAATACTGAAGAACTTAGTTAACTGAAAGAGTTAATGACACAAACACCTGCATACAAGTACTTCTGCCTCTATGATCTAATTAATTCCCAAAAACATTTGCAAAGTGATTCTTCATAAAATGAGATCTAATTATTAACTGAATTTTGTACCCCAAAATGTCGTTGCCATGTCAAAGGTACACTACCGGAGGATAGTTTATCATTCGGTGGAAAAATGTTAAAAATATATTTTAAAATTTAACTTATTTTTTATTTTTAAAAGAAGAATTAGAGATTTCGAAGCTTCATAAAAGTTATAAAATGAGATGGTTGTATATATAAAGATATCGTTTAACATAGGGATCTTCAATCCGTGGTCCGCGGAAGGCATTTTAGTGGCCCCACATTTTAATTTGAAGAAAAATTGAAGAATTTAAAAAAAAAACTTGATTTCAAGTAAAATTGCTTTGTCAGCTTTTTGTTGTGAAAAATCTTTTTTTCCTCTTATTCTTGATATTTAAAACATTTGATTGACATGCCTGATATTATTGAGATAAATTTTCTGAAAATGACGAATTTTTCACAAATTTCACTTTATCTTATGTAATTTCAAAAGTAAAAAAATTGACTACGGATAAAATATCAATTCCATAAAAAGGGTAGATTCTTATCTCTAGCAGGTTTGCAACAGATGTCAATCTGTCGTCAATACTTTGTCAAAGGTGAGCTTGAGAGAGGGGAGGGGGAATAAATTAACAGAATTCTCTTTCTCCAAATGTTGCAATTAGTTGTCAAAGGGAATAATGGTCGTAAACATCCTGTCTGATTTGGTGATAAGCAGATTTTCTTCAGTTGATTTTAAGCTAGGTTACACACGTTTATTCCACATTCTAAAATTCAGAAGCTTTTTATGGTCTTTGAATGAGTACACAATGGCAAGCCGTAATAACAAAAAAAGAAAAGTTGAAGGAAAAGTGCGATTTTCGCAGTCTTTCTTCGCCACAACGAATAAAGAATCTGAAAATAATGTTCGTGTTAGTTACATGATAGCAGAAAAAATCGCTAAGTGTGGAAAACTCTTTGCTGATGGAGAATTTGAAAAAGAATGTCTTCAGAGAGCAGTTGATGTGCTTTGTCCATCACAGGTTCAAGTCATAATCGAATAATAGCTTGTCTGTGTGACAGTAGCGAGACGCATAGAAGATCTCGCAACAGATATATTCAGTAAATTAGAATCCAAACGCAAAAAAAATTGAGTTTTATTCTGTAGCGATGGATGAATCAACAGACGCAACAGATATTGCACAAGTAGCCATTTTCATTCGTGACGTTGATAGAGACTTCACTATTATAGAGGAATTAGCTAGTGTCGTTGCACTTAAAGGTACAACACGAGGAATAGATTTGTATTCGAGTCTGACACAAACTTTGATAAATGTGAGTAGACTGTAGTAATATATCTGCTATAACCACAGATGGTACTAAATCTATGACTGAAACAAAAACAGGAGTAACAGCATTACTCAAATCTGATGTGAAGGCAAGTGGAAATAATACTGTGATGAAATTTCAGTGCATCATCCACCAAGAAAATTTGTGTATGAAGTTCTTCTCAAACTTTTAACATGTGATGAATGTTGTTATAAAAGTGGTTAATTTCCCTCCGTCTAAAGGACTTAATCACAGGCAATTTCAACAGTTGTTGAGTGATTTGGAAGCTGAATATGGTGACGTTGTGTATTACGCGGAAGTACGTCGGTTGAGTCTAGGAAGGTAGGTTGAGCACCTGTTTTCTTTGAAGAGCGAAGTTAACAAGTTCATGGAATCTAAAGAGAAATCTATTCACGAGTTCAGCGTTGAGAAATGGTTGAGAGACTTGTATTCGAGTGCATTTCTCGTCGATATTATAGGTCATCTCAATGATTTTGAACCACCGTTTACTGGGAAAGATCTACTTGTTCATAATCTTTATTACTTTGTGAAAGCTTTTGAGACAAAATTAATTCTGTTAATCCTGCGAGAAAGTCAATTGCTCAATAAGAATTCCACTCACTTTCCAAAATTGTATGAAGAACTCTACAGCTAGGAATTCAAATAATTATGTGCAAAGCATTTCAAATTTGAAAGACGAATTCAAAAGCAGATTTTCCGATTTTAATGAAAATGAAATTTTTATGAGAATGTTCTCCTTGCCATTTTCAGTAGACGTTGGAGGTGTTCCACCTGCACTTCAATTAGAATTTATAGATTTACAGTGTGACTCTGCAGTAAAATGAAAGTTTATTGAAAATACTATATTAATTGATTTTTATTCGAAGTACGTGACCGAAGACAAGTATCCAGGAATTCGTAAACATGCACTTTTCATGTCTTCTATCTTTGACAGTATCTACATAACTGAACAGCTTTTTATTAAAATGAAAATCCTAAAATCAAAAACAAGAACATGGCCGACAGACAGACGTTTGGAGGAAACTTTGTAGAGACATTAGGAGTTTTTTGGGGGCCAGAGAGATGAAAAATTAGCAACGCCTTCGCCGGGAATCGAACCACGGACGTCTGAAAAACCAGCCCGGCGTGCAGAACCACTACACCACAAAAGCACGCAAGAAACGCGGGAGAAATACCTTATAACTTTACGAATTGCTACAACACGGATTAAACAGGATATAGAAGCTTTAATCAAGCAAAACCAGTGTCAAATTTCACATTAAAGTAACTACCATCTCCCCCCCCAATAATGTAAGTTTTTTCTTCTTTTTTTAATTGTAAATGCATTTTTCTAACATCGTTCTGTACAATCACTTTCACACTTTTTTTTCATAGTTAAAAAAAGTTGCAAAGCGTTTTAATTCGATTTCCATTTGACGTTTTGGAACCAAAGTATAGAGATAATGTTACAGATTTGTATATATATATATATATGATGTACCAGCTTTTGTCCGGAATAAATAGATTGATGAAGAATCATAGATGTAGTTGTAGCTCAAAAGTATCAGACAATAAGTTTAAAAAACAAGGATCCAGTTATTATTGGTCAGGAGAAATAGCAGTTACAAAAATCATATTTCCGGAGTAAATAAAAGAATTGCTAATAACTTTTTGTATGAAGTTTACTGCCTCGTTACATTAAAGAAAAGACCTTTTATATCGGTACATTAAAGAAAATTTATTACTTCGTTACATTTTACATAATTTTACCTCGTTACATTAAAGAAAAGACCTCTATATTCCTTTGTGAGTCCTTTTATAGCCTCTGGAAAGGCGGAGCTTCCAAGAAATGACGTCAGCCATTCCAGTTCGCTTTAAATATCTCCAGAAGATTCTTTAACTGTACGTGTAGAAAAAGCGGGAAAAACAACTTGACTACGGGGCTGTGGATTTAATTCCACGTACTTTCAAATAAGAGACCGTCGCCATTAAAAATGAAAAGAACATACATTTAGAATTTTAAGTGTATTCTTTACTATGGAATTTTATTTTATTATTACATATATATATATATATATATATATATACATACATACAAATCTGTAACATTATCTCTTCGCTTAAAATCAATTGTAATCTTGCAAAACAAGCCTCCCTTTTTTATATAAATTTTCTGACTACCCTACTTTTTGATAGACATGTGTCTCGCGGATCTTTGTGAATTTATTGATATGGCCCTCGAGCGTGAAAGGTTGACCACCGCTATATTATTAACCAAAATTAAGACCCAAAATTTACTAAAATATATAATATATTTATATTTGATTCTGGTGAAAAAGTTTAATTTACGAATATAGTTGAACAATATAAATTTTAAATGTTTTATTCATTGATTATAAACGCTCCAAATAGGATGTATTGATTTAATCAAAAATTGCTGTCACAATTAATACATATAAATATATCAAGCAAGGAGTTTCGTAGAAGAGAGAGTTCCTTCCCTTTGATGAAGTGGCATTAAAGTTGATATTGAATTCCTCTTACGTTATGTTCTTTTTTTCTTTAGGGCAGGATTTCTTAAACTTTTTTCAGTCGCGACCCCTTGTGATAAGGTGGCATAAAGGTTCTTTGTGTAGGATGAGTTTTCAGAGTGCAGTAGTTTTCATATCCGTGGTGAAATCCTGTGCCTTTGTTAACGATTCCGGTCGCAGCCTCGTAGTCCACTGGAGCCTCGGTCGCTTCAGTGGACAAAGAGGTAAAAGAAGTCTTTTCATCAGGGTCAGGAGATGGACACTTTGTTAGGTATGAGTGAAAAAATCTCCCCCCCCCCAAGAGGAGAGCGTAAGTAAACACAGGGAGATATATAAAGTGGTTTCCTGAGAAGAGAGACAAACTTTCCTGTTTAGAGCTATGGGCATGTTGGTCTGCTAAGAACGATCATTCCTCGTGTATAATGCGTTAAAGCATTTTTCCTGTAACAAAATTCTGAAATTACGGGGCTAAATATACCCAAGTCCCCATATTGTCAAGATATGCAACTGTTAAGGTTTTCATCTTATTAAAATTCATGTTACTGTTAAAACTTGAGTTAGAAGTTCATTTCAACCTTGTGTCACAATCCAAGGTTTGCGTAGCGGTTTCAGCCACTACATCCCACCCTTTTTATCACTAAAATTTTTTCGCGACCTCCAGGACCCTATAATATTTACAAAAATTTTGTGGGGGCCCATAAGTATTGCGCAAATCCGACACACGCGTGAGTGAAACTGACAATATTTTACTTGTATTGTAATATACTATTGAATTTTATGTAATTTATTTTCTAATTTTAAAACACAGAACAATGTGAAAATTTTAAATAAGTTACAGACGAAATAACAGCGTCACGTGCAAAGCAAAGAAAATGAATGTTTCTATTATAAAGAGAATGCGTCGAAACGTTTTCGTTTTTTTCTTTGTCTTTGTCTCACATTTATCTATTTTCAGATACATTGTGTACAAATATTTGGTAATTGTAAAATTATTATAATAAGTTAAAGAAATATCAAAACTGCTAAAATTTTTGGCGACTCTCTGTTGCAGGTCGCGACCTTCAGTTAAGAAGAAACCCTGCTTTAGGGTATTAATTGTTTAAAAGTTTTGGTTTTTACATTTATTAAATTCTGTGTTGTATTTATAGGATTATTTGAAATTCATTAATTATGAATTTCGAAATTTTTGGTCTTTGTGAGACATTAGTTGTAAATTTCTTACTTTATATATATATGATTTTTAATTAAAAGGTACAAAATTAAAAATGTTTGAGAACATCCGATTTAGAGACCTAAGAAACGCTCAGTTAATAACATACAATTTATGGAAAATTATTTTAAAATTAAAACATTTATCGTATTTAATCCCAAGCTGCCAAATGATGAAGTCTTTGCATATTAATAAGCTACTTATTTATACTTGTCACCATATAAATTGGCAAAGAGGCATGACTTCATTTCTTTGCTTGTTAATCTACGAATCTTTGCTTGTTAATCTTGTTTAACGAAAGTAAATCGCATACTTTTCCCAGTATATTAATTATTAAGGATACGTCAATCAATTTATTTTTAATTCTTGTGCACACATAAAATGATGCTGCAAAGCTACTTGTTTCCATCCTCTTCCACATATATGCATCATCGTGAAAACCCTTTATGTAAAATGAGTTGCTAAAGGAAATAAAGCAGGGAATTTGAGCTCTTGCACTCCAAAAGGCATATAATTTGATTCTATAAAGTTTTGCAGCATCTGATATCATGTTTCACTTGAAGTTTGTAGATTTGTTACAGGGTTTGTAGCAAAATTCGATCTGATAAAAAGATAATTATTAAAATATTAAATCTGATAAAAAGATAATTATTATAATAAACAATTATTAAATTGTTTACTTGTACAGAAGTTAATAAAAATACAGCTGAATGCCGGGTACTTACCGTGTACAGACAGGTGCATCCAAGTACCATTTTTTGGTGAATCCGGAGGTCTGTTGAGGAAGTACACTTTACATTCGTACCATCCCTGATCACTCTCGCGCACGTTGGTGAGGTTGAGTGAGGCCTCATTGGCCAGCGAGACCCGCCCCTCATAACCGTCTCCCGCATGGGGTGGGTAACCATCGTACCAAATATAGATGGGGATTTTAATCCCCTGCTTCTGCCATTGGATAACGTAAGGTACCGGTTTCTCCTCGGGATATTTCAATTCACATTTCAGAGTTACATCTTCCCCCAGGACTGCAGAGACGTGTTCGGGATCTTCCTGATCGAAGCCTGCAGAGACAAAAACAGAGGTTGTTAAAAATCGCGCCAAAAATACAATTTTTAATAATGTGCTCGAATATAGACTTCATAAAATATTGTTGCTATGGATATAAAACTAGCTTAGTAGTTACAATGGATTCTATCTCATTGTGGCATACCAGGTAATAAGGCAGCTGATGGTTAGGCAAAGAAAGTTAAATGCATTACCAAAAGAACTAAGTGAATTTTCTATAAAACCTCATTTAATACATTTGAAAGAATATTAGTCACAAATAAAGGTTCTTTTACTTGTTATCTTCAAAACTGCACTTGCAACAGTTTCGACGATTTGCCAGTTCACCTTCTAGATACTGCAATAGCTGCATGCAAACTGATTGCTTGGCAGGATACCAGAACAAATTTGAGGAAACCCAGAATGTTTTTTCTGTAATACTGGCACCAAGGTCGGTAATCTCTTTGTCTCGCTCAAACAAAGAGTTCTCTGTTAAAACTGTAAGGGTTTATTTATTTAATCTTTAATCACTTTTATTTTCTACTTGATAAGCGTTATGCAAAAGTTGTCTGGCGAACGCCAAGTATTAAGTGTGGCCTTTTGCCAAGCAGAAGAGAGGGATTCGAAGCAGGCCGCTTACCTTGAAGTAGCTGCTACTTGCCTTCCAGGCCAGAGGTTAATCCTCTTGATAAATTAAACGTATTTAACAAGTGCTACATCGCTTCTGTTATATAAGGCCAAATCTAAAGTTAATTAGAGTTTTTTTATTTTAAGTTCGGTGGAGGGTCAAGTCGGAAGTCTTTAAAGAAAAAAAAAAATCCTGTGTCTACTTACTACAATAGTGAACATAGCTTAGTAGCTCTTGTTTTAGGTCATTTTCCGAGAAGGTAGAAGAAAATTGAACATGAAAACTATTTTAACGAAGTTCAAAACTCTTTTTGTAATAGTTTACCATTTTATTCTCATTTTATCCAAGTTCTGTTCCTACTTCCGTATTTTATATATATTTTGTCGCCTAAGGACAAGCTATTAAAATTTGTTAGCTTATTGGAAATAAATAAAGTTAAGACTGGACTGAAACAACAACTCGATAAAGTCCATTCCCAAGCAATCCTAGTTCGTAACTATATTCTAGTAACAATCTGCAAATTCGGCTATATTTTAAACCAGATTCCACAAATCTGGCTTTTTAAAATCTGATTGGCTTCAGATCAGATAATTCATTTAACAATTTTGTTTTATCCCTACATTTATTACATACTAAAATAATTTATGTGAAGATCGCATGCAATTTTAAGCCTGGAATCAGATGTTCTTTTTTCTACGGAAAGCACGGAAATTAAAAATTTTATACGTCATCAAAGCGTATCATTTGCCAGGCTGTGTGATTGGTAAATGTTTAGGTAACGTAATATAACGGCGTTCCACAGTTTAAAAGACTCCATTATAGACGTTTCTAGCATCAAGAAACGTATGGTAATTACATTTCATTAAGCATCGTTCTAATCAATAAGAAAAGAAAAATTTGTACTAAATTTGCAAGCGTAATTGAAGAATTAAGACACAATAACACGCCGAATAAATACTAATTCAGAAGTCATTTGCGGTTTTGCAGCTGAAGATGGTGGTTCGGTAAAACCATCGAAACTAGTCCTGCGAAAATTTTCTAAATATAACGCTGATTTTTGTTGTTTGACTTCTGAATTAGTAATTGAAGAACTTAGCATTGGACTACATTAATTAATAAATGGCTCTTTTTTACAGTTTTATAATTTAAGTTTAAATGAAATGGAAAACAATTCCTTTTTAGGAGATACAAATACAAAATTTCTTTCCTATAAGTGGAAGAGAGGTTAAAGGCTTTTAAATACTGATAGTTCGTCCGGTAGACGAGCTGGCTGCATGGTTGGTTTTCTCTACGTGTAAAGTGAATACGAACCAGTACCAGTTTCCCTTAGAAAAATCCCCCACGAAGGCATCTCTTCTTTTACATAGATAGCCCTAGTATGTTTTGCCATATACAAATAACCCATCCTTTCCGACGTTATCAACAAAATATTACTTCAAAAGTTGATTCTAGGAAAGATATATATTTTATGTAAAAATTTAATACTTTCTCATGCTTATTATACAAATTGTGATATATAAATCTAGCTGATGAAATCTGTGAATACTTCTAAAAGCAAATATTAATTTTTTCATCGACACGTTCATTACATGTAGCTATACCAAACAGAAAAGCAACTTTTTATATCACTAAGCCTTGTATAACACAGCTTAATAAAATGTCTGATATATATACCACTTCAAATCTCTTGAATACGGATTTGAATATGGAAACGTGAGAAAAAAATAAGTGAACGAGATGCTAGATTCTTAGAAGATAATATCCATACGGTTTTCTCCATAATGATAAAAAAAAGCGAGTAGCTTCTAACACAGGAAATCCCATAATCTATCTGAAAACCTTCCCATCAAATCACGATCATCTAAAAGCATATTAATTTACAGACGCTTAGATGCAGAAATTTCTATCATAATTAATTATGATTAAAATATTAGGTAGTAAACAGCTCTACTACAGTGCTCTGAATTTTATGCATTACGTGAAGAAATAGAAGGAAAGAAACACACATGAAGTGTAGAATCTCGCCCAGTTATTCCTCAGACGAAAATTATCAATTAAATCAAAAAATATCTCAAACTTATTGTCGGCTTCGCTAGTCAGTACTATAGAATTTCAGTGCGCAGAAAAAGTACTACTTTGGCCTTAACGATGAAACCTGATTAAAATTTGAAATCCCACTGAGGTTTCACTTGAATGGGTCATATCCCATTTTCATTTTATAAGAAAAAACATTAAAGACTCATTTAACCAGATTATATTCGCAAGACATATGCTAGGAGTAACTACATTCCCCGTGCATGCTCTCGTGGTGTAAGCATTTAGTATGTTCACCTAATAGCAACTGGAAAATCCGTGGCTCGAATCCAAGCAAGGGTACAGTTGATTTTTTATGTCTCTAGGTCCGACATATGTAATGGTCGGTACTTACGTATTAGCGCAATTGACTTAGCGCAGTCTGGCGAATTTTTACAGAGATAAAGGTGATTCAGCGAATTTTTGGATTGCATTTTACAATGGGTATGTTTACCTAAAGAACTGTTATGCGCATCGTTGCTAGAGTTTGCCAACTTCTGAAAATTTCGTGACCTCTACTAAGATGGCTGTGATAATACGTAAGTACCTAATAGTCTTTACACATATATTCAGCCAACAAGGAACTAGTCAGCACTTTTGTTTAACTTTTGTAGTTTAATCATAAAATCATAAAGAACCTGATCGCTTGGTAAAGATGTCCTGTGATAGTGAAATGTAGATCATGCAAAAAGTTAAGACATACATAACAAAAAGAACACGCCGAAGAATGAAAGTAATTGATAATTAGCGATAAGAATCGATCTAACATGAGCAAACTTCGAATCTGCAACCCTGCAAGGCTACTCATGTTACGTCGACTCTTGTTGCTTATTTTTAATTTCTTTAAGTTAAGACATTTTTGCAGAGAATCATTACTTGAATTATTTTTGCAATCTGATTGGTTACGTTGGTTAGATTGTAGACATCATACAGAAGTTTCTGAAAGGAGATTTCTAGAAAAACTCACCGGGCTGTCGCTTGCAACTGAAACTGGGTCTTCACATTATCAAATTGATATTCTGATTACCATATTGTAAGAACACGGAATGAATGCTGGCAAAAAAATGTTAAATTTTAACCAAAATCCAATATTAGATTAACGTTAATTTTAAGAGAAAAGTTTAGATTTTGAAAAAATTCCATGTGCTTCAAAAAAGAGTGACATCCGTACCCTCTTTTGAAATGCCATGATTTTTTTTTTTTTGTTAAAATCAATGTCATGTTACAGATGAGTTTTGCAGTATGTTACAATATGCTAATTAATGTGACGGAGAAGTAGAAATGTATTCGTCTAGAGTTTTGGTGAGTTGATTAACTGATTACGGCAAAATATATAAGGCAAAGCCCTGTAGAAATCTATCTAGAAATTGTATCTAGCCCTGTAGAAAAGCATTCCGCTTTTTATATTACTATTATATTTATATTTATTAGATTTACGAAACTGGTTTCCCGGAGCAAAACCTCATAGAGACCCCTGCTTCTTTGGTTTTATTTCAATACAATAGATATCACTGATTATAAAAGTTTTTGGAAAAATAATTTAATATTTTACTATTTTTTATTTAATGTGAAGAGTCATTAGGTTTTTTTTGAAGCAGGAGACCTGAAAAATGTGCAGTGCTTTCAATGAGATTCGAGCCCTGGACCTCTCTCTCGAGTATGCTGCCAATTAACTGTGAAGGCTTGCGGAAAGCAGGGAGAAAATACCTTATATATTCCTCCTTTTAAAGAGCAACTGGGGATTCCGAAACCCAGTCGCCAAATCCTGGTAGTGATGAATTATCGTCTACCAACGTTTCAGTTCTGGCATCACTGTAGATTCATGAGGTTTTCTTTTTTAAGGAGACATGAGAAATGTGCAATGGATTCGCCGGGACTAGAACCCTGGTGCTCTCGAATACGCCCCGAGTGTACTACCGTTACACCACTATGGCATGCTGAAGGGTGGGAAAATATCCCTTACATACTCTCCCTTTTAAAGGAAGGACGTCCTTAAATAATTTTAAAGGGCGACTTGGGATGAGAGTGTAAGGATCTTAAGTTTTACTAACGTTTATTTTATTTTAAATCTTTACTATCACTTCTTATTTTCTACTTCCGGCCAGAATTATAAGCGTTAAGGTTTTTATGCAAAGTTTGTCTGGCGAACGCCAAGTATTTTAAGTTGTGGCTTTTTTGCCAAGCGAGAGAGAGGAAGCAGTGAGTCGAACGCAGGCCGCTTACCTTAGAAGTTTTACGCAGTTGCTTGTTGCCTTCCAGGCCAGAGGTTTTAATCCTCTTGATAAATTTTAAACGTATTGTAGTGTTCACAGTTCT